CAGCTTAGCAGCACATATTTTTCTTGAAATATTACATTTAACACGTTTCAAACTATTTATTTCAATTTATTTGATTAGTAATCGATTATTTTATAGATAATGTTGCAAATTTCTAATATACTTTTTAATAAGATAATTTTTATTAATTGCAAATTATCAATTGCAATATTAAAATTTAAATTACGTTTATATGTATATTTATATGTGTGATATGCTATGTAATTAAGAATTTTCACATAAATACAAAAGAATATGTTACATTATTTGTATTTAAAATTTTCTGCTATTATCTGTTTGTTATTTAATCTGACAAATAATTTACTATTTTTTATCATTCAAATTGTCAGGGCGCGAGAAACTCTGTTGGTATAGTATTTGACAAGCTAGAACGCACGAAGCAGATTCAACGCTATCTAGTGGTAGCACACTAATAGACGGTGGGCAATGCATAAAAAAATGTATGGAAAAGACGAAGAAACAAGACGAAGGCGACGTAAAGATACGAGTTGTACCGGAATCTCGACTTGTCAGACGATGCATTAAATCCCGTTCTTTTTTATGACGAAATATCACATTTCGTCGTGCAAGCGAATGAATACGAGATCGAGGAAACGTCAGTGGCATTCGCGCGAATTTAGAGTAAGTATTTCTGCTATTTTACTTCGCCTTGTGACGAGTTGACGTACTCCAGGTTATGGCTCCGTATTTTCATCGCTGCGCATTAATTAGACAATTGACCTATGTAATTATTCTAGTTTGTACCGCGATATAACTCTCTCATTTGAGATTTACATTGTAACGTTACGTTACACGGTCTACAAATTGTTATTACTACAAGTAGAAATTTTTATTCTTTGCAATGTATTTAATTGATTATACACATATATGCCTTTATCCATTAGATAAAGCGTACTTTTATGTAGTAAATATGTAGTTATGTAGTAATTCAATGACAAGATAATGTTAAATAAATAACTTTTTTGGATGGTCAATAGTTATATCAATATTATTTTAAGTCTAACAATAAAGTCTAGTAATGACATCGTTGTTTTAGATGTAATTATCATGATATTCAATATATAAATGTTGCCTGAAGAAGAGGCAAAAATCAGCATCATGACTGAAGGTTAGCTAAAATTCTATACGCGATTATCAATTTAGAAATTAATGATTTTATGTCTCTAATAGATATTTTATTTATTTTAGGTGCAGAAACTCAACCTAATGCGGGAAATGAGTCCCAGACAGGTAAATTATCATTTTATTGATGATTTACATATATATATGTTTCATTCTTAACGTATAATTATATAAAGTTGGATGCTAAGCTTGTGTGTGATATAATTAAGTTAGCATTCGTTCTAGGCATCTGTCATATTATAGATCAAGGTTATTTTTTAGTTATTTAGTTAACATGTGGTTTATCTATTATTTTATTCAACCAAGGATATATTTGCATTGTGTGATTATTTGAGTAACAAGTAATAACTAAACAAAATATTTAATAGCTTTTAAAATTAATTATTAAAATTGATTTATAAAAGAAATTAAAAGAATAAGAAATAGCAAAAAAATAAATATATATATATATTTTTATATATTATAGTGTGTCAAAGCAGCTTAAAATATGTGAGAATGGATTTATCATGGATCAAAAGTGCAAGCTTATATTGTATTTTTGCAGAAGCCTTAGAACCAAGGGCAACACATAGTGAGGGATTACATGAGGGAGCAGTGGAATCAACATCGCAAACTGCTCTTGAACCTATGCAAGAGCTTCTTACAGTTCATGGAACTACGCAGGGAGAAAGCAGTGATGCTGTCAGTATTTATACTGCCAGTACATCGGTATCTGGTAATGGTAAGTTTACAAATTCCAACGATGATATCAAAATACATATCAATATTTGCATCATTTTTTAGAGTCAAGTTCAAGTAGAGTCAGCGCGATAACCGTGGTGCTGCCTTGGGGTGCTCAGAAGGAGACAGTGAAGGCGCAACAAATAGGAGACATGGATCTAAGACCGGGAGAGTACGTGATGCGTATTCTGTTTGCAGAATTTACATCGCAGGCGGAGAAGAAAATGGAAGCCGTTATGACTGAACATGTAAGTAATCATGTAAGCAATTGTTAAAGCAATAATATTGCTATAATATATTAATTTTAGGAAAAACAATTATCAAAAGTTTTACAACGAGGAGAAGATCCACAATTTGATCAACTTTTGTCGGCCTTCGGTTCAGTTGCCGAGCACTGTTTGCCGTCAATATTGAAAGCTCTCTTCAATTGGTACGAACGTCAACTCATAGATCAAGGCGGTGATCAAAAGAAACCTGCTCCTGGAAAAGAAGATCAAAAAGGAAAAAGGTAGGAAAAGAAATAAAAAAATTAGCACATCTTATAAATATCAATTATATTATATCAAATTATATCATTTTAGCATTATGTATACAATAGTATCAGGAAGTGTAGAAACAGTGGAAAGAAGCGAAGGAGACCTCTTGCAAGAGCGCAGAGATCTTGCTGTTGAATTTATATTTTGTCTAATGCTGATTGAGGTTTTGCGTCAATTACCATTTCATCCTGGACATGAAGATTTAGTAACTTACATAGAAAATATTGCTTTTAAACATTTTAAATATAGAGAAGGGTAAGCAGTAAAAATATGACAACTTACAAATAACACAAAAGAGATGTAAATAAAACCTAATCAATTTGTATTTACTTTTAGCATACAAAACGAACCAAATGCAGCTAATATTCATATCATTGCTGATCTTTATGCTGAAGTAATCGGAGTTTTGGCGCAATCTAGATTCATGTCAGTGAGAAAACGTTTTATGGTAGAACTGAAAGAATTACGAGCTAAAGAACCAGGCCCTCATACCACGCAGAGTATCATTTCCTTATTGATGGGAATGAAATTTTTCCGAGTTAAGGTAATTATTTTATTCTCAATTATTTATATATATTTTATTTTTTTATTTATGCATTTTTTGGATTTATGTATTGTGTGTGTGAATTTTTAGATGGTGCCAATAGAAGAATTTGAAGCATCGTTTCAATTCATGCAAGAATGCGCTCAATATTTCTTAGAAGTCAAAGATAAAGATGTTAAGCATGCTTTAGCCGGCCTCTTCGTCGAGATACTTGTTCCTGTTGCTGCTGTAAGTATCGAAGAGTACAAATTTATAATTTTTGCATTATGCGTGATATCGTAATAATCAATATTTTACATTTTAGGCTGTGAAAAATGAAGTAAACGTACCATGCTTGAAAAATTTTGTGGAAATGTTGTATTCAACGACACTGGACATGTGTACAAAGTCCAAGCACAGACTGGCACTCTTTCCATTAGTAACCTGTTTGCTCTGTGTCAGTCAGAAAACGTTCTTTTTACAAAATTGGCATTACTTTTTAGCAATGTGTCTGTCTCACTTGAAGAATCGCGATCCAAAAATGTGTCGAGTCGCTTTAGGTACAATTAAAATATAATTTTATATGCGCTATTTGCTTAAAAGAAAGCCGAGAAAGAAGCAAATGTATGTCTTTTGTATTTACAGAGGCTTTGTACCGTTTACTGTGGGTTTATATGATACGAATTAAGTGCGAAAGCAACTCGGCCACGCAAAGCAGACTGCAGAGCATAGTGAATTCGCTGTTTCCCAAAGGATCGAAGGCGGTAGTGCCGCGAGATACGCCGCTGAACATTTTCGTAAAGATAATTCAATTCATTGCGCAAGAGAGACTGGACTTTGCGATGCGCGAGATAGTGTTCGACCTGCTGTCTGTCGGCCGGCCGGTAAAAATAATTTTAACTCCCGAACGCATGAGTATTGGACTCCGAGCATTCCTCGTTGTAGCAGACAGTTTGCAGCAGAAGGAAGGCGAACCGCCAATGCCGCGCACCATGGGTGTATTGCCAAGTGGAAACACCATGCGAGTTAAAAAGACATTCTTGAATAAGGTATACACTTTTCATGTATTTGATAGCATATTAACAATTTATTTATTAAATAATTAAGATATTACAATTTTTCGGCTCGAATTATTCATAAATAAATAATGACAAACAAGCTTCAGAGCCAGAGCTAGTTAGACATGCTCCATTTATTACTTTATATCACATAACCAATAATTAGAATTTATTTATTAAACTTTTATAATTCAGATGCTAACAGAGGACACCGCACGAAGCATAGGAATGTCTTCATATTTTCCACACGTGCGACGAGTGTTTGTGGATATCTTACGCGCGTTAGATGTTCACTATGGCAGACCTCTCATGATGACCAGCACGCAAAATATGAACAAGGAGCCGGACGAGATGATCACCGGAGAGCGCAAGCCTCGAATAGACCTATTTCGAACTTGCGTTGCCGCCGTTCCACGATTGATTCCCGATGGAATGACCGGAGCAGAGTTAGTTGATTTGCTGTCTCGTTTGACAGTACACATGGACGAGGAATTGCGCGCGTTGGCGTATCAAAGCTTGCAAACTCTAGTGTTAGATTTCCCCGATTGGCGACAGGACGTTGTGCTCGGGTTTACACAGTTTCTCGCGAGAGATGTGCAAGATACGTTCACGCAACTTGTCGACAACGGCTTGAGAATGCTGTTGCAGCTGCTGACTAGTTGGAAGAACGCCTTGACGAGTCCCAGTATAAGATCTAAGGAACAAGCAGTGGATAATACACGGGTGAATATACGAGTGGACGTTGGCATAAAAAAATGCGAATCAGGCCAGGTTTACATGATTCTATTTCAGTATTTCTAAGCAACGTGTAAATCACATACAAATCTTCTTCCTTGTTTGCAGAAAGTCGAGCCCGTGTCAAACATATTCTATCTGGTGGAAGGATTTGCCTTGGTTATGCTCTGCAATTGTCGGCTGTATCCTCGAAGACTGGCTGTTCACATACTCCGGGAAGTTAAGCTTTTGTTGAAGACTTTAGGTAACTGTGTTTACATGTATACATTACAGGCGTGAGATAATATAACGTTACGATGTAGATACATATCTTAATTTTTTTTTTTAGGAGGACCTGAGGACGATCAGCCCGTTATTGACGTAATTGACGCTTGCTGTCCCGCCGTTTTAGAGAAATGCTATCCCATGTTGCCGGCAGCTGAAAAAGCAGCCGCTGCGTCCACCTCTAACGTGGATCTGCAATGGATCGCGGACAGAAGTAGTTGTGTTTGGACAGCTGGTTGGTATTACACACGGCTCATTTACACAGTTGATATGTAGGCCGCATCCATTATATTTATCTATATTTATCTTACGTTGCAGGATTTCACGACGAGAACAGTACCAAGAGTTCCTCCTCGCTCAACTTAAACGGAGCCGATCCGTGGGCCAGTTGTCTGTTCGCCTTCCTGGAAAAGGACAGAGTGCTCACGTTATGCCCGAATGCCGTCGTACACTCCTGGCCTATTGTCTTCACTCGCATAAACTCTCTGTTTTCAGTAGTGGATCCCACGTAAGATTCATCTGTTATAGTCAACTTACATCGGGCATATTCGCACTTCGATATAATTTGAAATTTGCCGTTTGTACGCAGCCCGGTAAATGACAATCGAGCCTCGTTACTGAGAAGCTCGACGACGGTGAGAAAGCCGGTAAACGAGAGAGATGTCTATATGCATATATGGAAAAACTATCTGACTTTCGGATACAGAGTCGTGCCGCCTGTGCCAAATCCGGTTGTTCGGTGCGCCAGTCCGGATCTCAGTCTCAGGTAAGTTAGCGCATAGAAATTTACAACCGGAGAGTTCAAATATCATTGTATCATCCTACTATTATTACTACTACTACTACTACTACTACTACTACTACTTTTTATCATTATTATTATTATTATTATTCATATTATTTCTCACATATTTTTCAATAGTTTTAATTTAATAAAATATTCATGCTTATTACGTATCGCTCGATGAAATATAATCGTGTGCATTCGCTACGCTGCAGATGCAGATGAACGAGTTTGCATTAACATAGAAAAAAAAATATAGCCTCGTTTAAATGTATTTGCGTCGATGGAGGCTACGCACAAAACTTATGTCCACGTTAATTTTAGTGAGATATTCTGATAAATTTCCGATTAACTAAAAGTTTTTATGTTTAGCAGAATAATATATTAGAGCTTTGTATAAGTGTATCTATGAAAAGTGAGTCACAGTAAAAGTTCAATGTCACTTGGTATTAATTGGTGTTGGGTCATGTTTGCTAAACGTCTATTGTTACACAGAAGTGTCTTATTTATTCAGTGCTTGTTTCAAAAAAATGTTTCAATAAAGATTCATTCAACATTTCACGGAATTGTAAAGTAGCTTATATTGTTAAAATGTTGATTTTGATATTCGCAGTTGTCGCAATTACGGCTTCGCAATGTCTGATTGAACACTAGACCCTCTAACGCTATATATATATAAGTCTCTCTATTTAATGTTATGCACATTTTTGACAGCGGCGATTCTGCCGTCAAGTAGACTGGCGCCAATTTGTGTCAAATTCGCGCTTTGCACTCGGGAGCGGGATCCATATTTGCTCTGTCTTGTTTATGCATATTACACACTTTGCTTTATTTTCCGCAATACCCCACATTTTCTCGCATGCCAATTCCTGTCGTATCGTGCCTCGTACATGTACATCTCTCTTTCTCTCCCTTTCTCTCTCTCTTTCTCTCTTCTCTCTTCTCTCTCTCTCTCTCTCTCTGGGTATTAGAGTAGTAGTCTCTGAGCAGTAAATAATGTCTGATACAAGGAGCATTGGTGGTACACTGTATTGCATACTCTAGTGGTCAGCATACGGTGGAGTTTGGTGTGTTGTGCATGAGTAAGGAGTTGAGTCAGAGCCTGGAGAATCTCGGCGGGGCGCAGACCCTGCCGGGTCGGTTCTCTGTACCGTCCATTTCCGGCATCTACACCCGGCACAAACGTACCAGGTGAGCCTGAAATTAACAATCGCGAACAAACGACCACGCTTCCTTCGATGTCACCCGGGATTTAAACGGTCGTTGGTAATTCGCACTGATATCTTCCACTGTTGAATCTTTGTCTCTTCTTATACCTTCTTAACGCAACACAGTTTATTACTTTTCTTTTCTTTTTTTTTTTTTTT